CTTTAAAGCAAAAGACACAGTTTAGGAGTCTCCAGTGTACTTTAGAAAACTACAAAAAAAAAAAACATCACACGTCAGAACTGAAACATCTGTGGTTACAAACTGAATACAGGAGCATTATTTCTATTCATTAACCGTGCCCTCATCAACCGTAAGTAACCCTCATTTCCTGGACTATACCCAGCTTTGCCCACAAGTTCACATGCACGGCATGACAAGACAAGACATCTGTGTACAGCGTGCTGGAACAGACACAGCAAACTCAGTCAGGACAACAGTCAGGGCAATTACTGGTTGGCATTTCTTTTTTTTAAATTAGTGAAAATGTAATTTACAGCCTCGAATATCTTACCAAATAGTTTTGCATCCTCCACAAACTTCTGAGTTCTTTTTCTGACATTTTCAGAATCACTTAAAGCCCTCTTGTGACGCTCCTAGTAACAAAAAACCATTAAATGTTTATATTTATCTCAGACTTATTGAGTTACAGATTTGTTTTTTTTTAAAAAGGGATAAGTCAAAACAACATGGCAGTTAGCATTTTCAGATGAAGACCTCACCAATTTCCATCATGTTATCATAACAGGTTTCCTATAAATAACAATTACATTTACACAATTTTTACAAAACCATCAAGTAGGGATGCACCGATATATTGGCTGAAAATGGCACTTTTGGCATAATGCCGAAAGTGCAATTTTCTGGCCGATACAGCGGTGCATACTCCTCCCCGCAGGGCTGTGCTGTGCTGTGTCCCAGTGGGGAGGAGAGAAAGTGTGACAGCTGGCCGAGCGCTGCGGGAGGAGAGCGCTGTGAGCAGCCGGCGTCTCTCCTCCCACACCGCTCAGCCTCCTGTCACAGTCCGGCAGAGCGGTGTGTGGGAAGAGACAGCCCGCACTGTCACAGGAGGCTGAGTGATCTACATCCCCTTCTGTTCATTCATGATTGTGGTTATAGTAAACATACTCTGTCCTCAGTTTATGAATGAACAGGAACACTCAGAGGATTCCTGTTCATTGATAACTGGTGCTGCAGAAAAAAAGATTGGAGGACTTTGTGTTTTCAATCTCTTTTTCTATTTTAAAAGGGAAATATCAGGGATCTGTTTAGACCCCTAATATTTCCCTGAAGCCCCTAAAAGTAAAGTAAAAAATAAAAATATTTAATTAAAAATGAACAAAAAAACAAATATAAAAAAATAAAATTTGAAAAAGTGAAAATAAAATTTTTTTTTGGTTTTGGTTTGACTTTTAAATTTCGGTTTCATTTTTGAAATTTGCATTTCGGCGCACCTCTACCATCAAGCAATATCCTTATCACACAAGGTTTATTTTGGCAAGCAGAAAGACCTTGCAATCTGCCTCAAGTGGCTCTGGGTTAACATATGACTGCAATATTCTTTTTTAAATATATATAGCTGCAGAAATTAATTATTTAAAGGGCCACTACAACATAAATAGGAATGTACAGATGTCACCATTCACTAAAACCTTCTCATTATCATGCATGGGTAAAATGCATTAAAATGTATGACAGTCAGAATGCACAATTCAATGGGACCAAGTCACATCTATGCATTTAAAAAAAAAGCCCCATGCTGCCTTTTCAGAGCTTCTGAATGCACAAACAGGGCTGACTGAACAGAATAGAGATGCATGTAAAACACTTTATGCATCCGTCTAGTGTGTTCCATGCAATTAAAAGACAAAAACACCACATAAAGGATATTCCTCTTTATGGGAGGGCATGTGCATAGTGTGGATATAGGAGTGTTGATCTCCATAGGCCCAGTTATAATGTCCAGGGGTGATATGTATGATACTATAAAAAGGAACAAATATAACACTTTTCACAAATAACTTATGCAATGTTTAATGTGCCACTGGCAAGTTGCTAATAATGGTACAGGCTCCAAGGCTGCCATAATTTGTGTTGTATTACCTCATAAGTCAGTGACCAGAAACTAGCAAACAGCCAGTGAAGTCTATCTACAATGCTGTCTCGCACATTTGTTCCTGGTCAGCGATTCACCAGGATTGTCATAATTCTGGTTGTATTACCTCATAAAGTCATAGCGAGTGAGTGACCTCTTGTGTTTTAAGAGCAGAGGGGAAGCCACCCAGTTCAGCATGAGGACCTAGGAGAGCGCTGTAAAGCACTGCTTTACAGGATCTCCAGCGGCTGATCAGGTAGCATATATTCATACTTACATTGGGCCAAGATGGACCAATAAGTATGCATAATAAAGTTACGTTCAGCTTTAATTTCAGGCAATTTCATGCTAGGTAGCCCATCAAACCATCCACTCTTCAGCAATTCAGCACTGGTCTTGCATAACTAAACGTAGGTTAGCAAACTTAGCAGTGCGGTAAGTTAACGTGCATAGTATTAAGCCAGCCCATTCAAAATTAATTAGCTGCCAACGCACCCTACTGTGCTTAAGGATCTGACATGACCCTTTCATTGTATCTCTACATACAGGTCTGTGTTACTGCAGGCTACAACGCAGGTGTGTTGTCTTAAAGGAGAACTATGGGGTTAGGGCTTTTCCCCATAGTTCTCCTAAGGGTAACGGGAGGACACAAACTAGCGTCCTCCCGTCACCCAAAGCTCAGTATACCGCGAGTACTGAGACGCCGCAGCTGAAACGGATCCCGACAATTATGACTGGATCCACCCAGCTGCGTGAGTGACAGCTGGCTCTGCCTATCTAGAGCCAGAGCCAGCTGTACCTGCCCCCTCCCCCGTCCGTTCCGCCAGTCAGCAGAACGGACCCTGTCACGGCTCTCTGCAGGGATAGATCGAGAAGCGAGCGAGCGACGGTATTTGTTCGTTCACTTCCCGATCTACTGAGCCGACCTGTGACAGTTTCATTGTCACAGGTCGGCTCAGATTATGAGGCTGAGTGAAAATCACTCAACTCATAATTCTCCTTTAATGCATTAGGGTACCATTCAAAATGAATGGAACCGCAGCATTGAAGTGTAAATCCAGACCAACAATGGGAATTTTAGAATTAGTTTTCTACTTATTTACAACAGACATCCTCCAGTTCACAGGAGAGAAAAAAATACTGCCCTCAGTATCTCCATACTGCCCTCAGTATCTCCATACTGCCCTCAGTATCTCCATACTGCCCTCAGTATCTCCATACTGCCCTCAGTATCTCCATACTGCCCTCAGTATCTCCATACTGCCCTCAGTATCTCCATACTGCCCTCAGTATCTCCATACTGCCCTCAGTATCTCCATACTGCCCTCAGTATCTCCATACTGCCCTCAGTATCTCCATACTGCCCTCAGTATCTCCATACTGCCCTCAGTATCTCCATACTGCCCTCAGTATCTCCATACTGCCCTCAGTATCTCCATACTGCCCTCAGTATCTCCATACTGCCCTCAGTATCTCCATACTGCCCTCAGTATCTCCATACTGCCCTCAGTATCTCCATACTGCCCTCAGTATCTCCATACTGCCCTCAGTATCTCCATACTGCCCTCAGTATCTCCATACTGCCCTCAGTATCTCCATACTGCCCTCAGTATCTCCATACTGCCCTCAGTATCTCCATACTGCCCTCAGTATCTCCATACTGCCCTCAGTATCTCCATACTGCCCTCAGTATCTCCATACTGCCCTCAGTATCTCCATACTGCCCTCAGTATCTCCATACTGCCCTCAGTATCTCCATACTGCCCTCAGTATCTCCATACTGCCCTCAGTATCTCCATACTGCCCTCAGTATCTCCATACTGCCCTCAGTATCTCCATACTGCCCTCAGTATCTCCATACTGCCCTCAGTATCTCCATACTGCCCTCAGTATCTCCATACTGCCCTCAGTATCTCCATACTGCCCTCAGTATCTCCATACTGCCCTCAGTATCTCCATACTGCCCTCAGTATCTCCATACTGCCCTCAGTATCTCCATACTGCCCTCAGTATCTCCATACTGCCCTCAGTATCTCCATACTGCCCCCTTTGTGCCTCAATAAGCTTCACATCAGGTTCTGCATGCAAATGACCAGAATGTTGTTATCAGCAATGTTACAACACTTCCAAGAAAGACTAGCTTGAACTCACTGTTAAGTCTCGCACTTCCTCCTCTAGTTTTATGGCTCTCCTCTCTAGTGTCCTCACAGAGTAGGATCTGTCACCCACAGCGCCATCATCTGCAGTGGTCTGGTCTCCAGCACTTCTCTGCTGAGGAGCTGCACTGTATGCACATACACAACACCTGTAACGACAAAAACATTGGGAGTGAGAAACATTGCAGGTGAAATCATACTGTTTACAGGGCTGTACCATTAAGGCCCCATGCATACAGCAGTAAAAACACAATGCAAAGCGGATTTGATTCATGGATACGAACATGGGTAAATTGTTTTCATCTGAGCCATGCACACAGTTGCGTAAACATACTCTGCGTATAAAGAAAAAAATTCTGCATCGGAGGACAAATGTTATGCCTATATGCATGTAAACACATGTTTACACACATATCATATACTTGCATAGGTGTAAGTGCATAAATGAAGTACAAACAGGAGAATAACACTGAAAACAGAGCAGGAAGAATTTTACACATTTAAAAACACATGCTGACTTTACTGAATACCGAGGAATTTTTTGGCCAGAAAAAAAAACTATGGGTATATGTTCAGTAAGTCTATTACGGCGTGTGCATATAGGACCAGGCCAAATCAAGCATTTGATAACTGAATTTTATAAGAACATTAGTGTATGTCCCCAGCATAGCCTGTGCATATTCTACTCTATTTCTAGTACTGCCGTTGTCCTCCAGATGCAGGGCTTGTTCACACCAAATGTGGACCAGATTTGCATGAGTTTCTGCACACGCAGTGGAGTGTGTTTTGCCAAGTTTTGTGCCGTGTTCCGGGCCAACGTTGTGAACTAGGAGCCCAAAATACCATTGGAATACATTAGACGCAGTTTTGATCCGTTTTGTAACTGTTCTGCTCCTCGAATGCGCTTGGTGTGAACTAGCCGCAGACCCATGGGCAGTCTACCCACTTTGTAACAGACATACATTGGCAAAAACATTTACAACAGCAGCTGCATTGTGGAGAGGCCAATAAGAAGGCATGCCGGTTACATAAGAAGGTATACTTATGTACAAAGTGTGCAGACACTGGCTAACACATTTTTACACCCCCATTGCAGTCTGAAGGCACGCCTGCCCGCAGGTTATTATTATACAGGATTTATATAGCGACAACAGTTTGCGCAGCGCTTTCGGGATCAGGGATGTACATTACTTTATCATGGAAGGAAATGCTAAAACATATGTATACAGAAGCTTTATCAACATCAAAGTAACCTCCTGCAAAGGCCAAACAAATAATGCCTTCATTTCTTCTACCTGGATTCTAACGATTGTACATTTTCCTGTCCTCGTTTATCTGCAATTACGCTTCATTCCCCATTTTGCTGGGTCCTTTTATTATATTTCGACCCATCCACATAAGATTTTAATGAGAAACAACTGGTAAAGAATAATGGGAAAACTAAATGATAAAAAGGTCACAAGTATTGTACAGTAATTGAAAAGAATCTATGAACAAGCACTACATTATACAGCAAACAGAGGTCATATAGTAAAAAAAGATTTTTAGGCTAAAATAATATGACCTTTAGAGTGAACGGAAATATTTCCTTAATTTCACTCCATTTTATATCAGCGTTTGCACACAAGGATGATGGCACACAGACAACCTGAATGTGTGGTTTGGTCTATGTAAAAATGCATGGCTATAAATAGCTACATCAACAGAACATTGACAAATTGAGTCATCAACTTGGTTACTCGTCAGGCCCTTTGACCTCACATTTTCTAGCAAGGAGCCATCCTACAGTCCCATTTAGCGGTGCAATGTTCTTGTAGATAGAAGACATCTAATGAGGTTTGTGTTCCTTTCCATCACAATTAGACCTAAATTGTAGCAGCTATACACTCGCACTATATATGTAGGTACCTTAAAAAAGGGAAACCCTTTGCTTGTTTATTAAATAAATACCCAAGTAGTAGTGTAGTAGTGGGCTTAATAAAAACAATTTGAAATTGATTTGAGGGCTCTGGCAGTGAAGTCTTCCATGACTTACCCATACATCTATGGAAAGCATCCCTCCTTACACCATAACTTCAAACATTCCTAATATTATATATATCCATGTACGGAATGAATATCATGGAGGTTATTGTGAATATCTTCCCAACCTCCATGTGCAGTATTAGGCCCATGTGCCACTAGTACATTTTTGTTGCCGACAACCAGGAGCAATATCACGGAGGTGCAGCTACCACTCTATCCAACTGAAGTTGTTTCAAGTATGGCGCAATTGCTCCGGAATCCAAATTGATAGTGATGGAGTAACAGTTTGCTGATTAAGCCCGTGAGAACCAACACCAGAGAAGATCAAGGGATTATTAGAGATGATGTCACTACAGTAAAGATGACCCTACCCATTCTGACATACATAGACAGGAAATAGGTAATGCTATTTTGATTAGCTCTCTGTCTGGTCACAATACTGTGCTGCTACGCTAAGGGCTTGTTCACACCATAAACAGTGCGTTCAAGACTGGTCAGCTGCAGGAACGCACTGTATCACATCACAGCTGCCTTCCTGCGTTCAGGGGCTGCGGTCCAGTGCAATCTGAACAAATGCTGCAAGCACTCAAAAGGCACAAAGTTTGTGCACACCTGACATTCAACATCTATTTGGCCAAGAATATGGACCGGGGCCGTACCAAGTAGCTGCCGGGAAGGACAGGTGCTGCGTGCGATTAGAACGCAGCCCCCGTCCTTCTCTATGGGGCAACGCGGCCGTACGCCCCCCTACGCTCACCTCATTTGCAGGTCCGTAGGGGTGCGGGTGATCATATTCATACGCCGCCGGAATGGATCCTTTATGCGTCCCGGCCAGAAAACCCGCACCCCTACGGACCTGCAAATGAGGGGAGCGTAGGGGGGCGTCCGGCCGCGTAGCCCCATAGAGAAGGACGGGGGCTGCGTTCTAATCACACGCAGCACCTGTCCTTCCCGGCAGCTACTTGGTACGGCCCTGCACGGAGCTGTACGTGCAGGCCGATTCGTGTGTGAATGGGGCCTAAAGGTGGCATACTTTGCTTGGCAGGTCTATGAAACCAAATACGGAAAGCCAAAGAAAAAAGGGACCACTGTTAAAGTTGTCCCCTCCTCCACTCTGTCCTCTCGCTGCTCGGAAAGTGTCAGACAAAGAAAACATTCCTAAACCAGACACTACAGGGACCTTGTGTGATTCGGCAGCTCAGTTTTGCTTACACTTGTCCCACTAACCTCTATTCACAAGGACTGAAAGAGGAAATGAAGACCGCATACGTCATTCTTTAGCTATGAGGTCTTCTCTGTCCCATTACAGACAAAGCAATTAAGAAGCACAAAAGGCATAAGGACTATAGCCAAAGGCCATTCCACCTATCTCTACTAGTCCAACTCCATTTTTTTTCTAATCTGAATAGAATGGATAAGAGTTTGTACCTCAGGTTTTTATTGCGTACCCAGTCTGTACTGGGGACATTTTTGTGAACTACAAAGACAAACAGCCAAAGGGCCCACTGGTACCATTCTGTGCTAGTGCATGTGCGTTAATGTGCATTGTGTTAAGGCAGTCCATTCATTTATCTAAATGTTAGTGAGCTGTGCATTGCATTGGAATTTACGTCTGTTGGCAAGGTGCGTTGGGGTGCCATTCAGAATAAACAGCAACGCACAAATGCATGCAGCAGGCAGTGCTGCAACTCTGCAGTGTGAATGGTTTCTCAAAGTGAACCTGTGTCCAGAACAAGAACTAAAGGCACTTTAAAACAATAAAGTTGACAACTTTTTCAATAATCGATTATAATCGATTATGTCGATTAGTTGTTGCAGCCCTAAAGTCCTCATTCACCAACTGTAGCTATAGGCATTGTGGAGAAATGTATCATCATTGAAATCTTAGTTTCTTCCTATTACTTTCTATTGCACCAGAAATTTGGCAGCCCGCCAGCCCTCTATTGTAAACGCATAGTAGGTTATTCGAAGCTGTTAACCGACTGAAACTGGACTCTAGGTTCTTTGTTGGGATATTTGAGAATCAATTACTTTACGTTATATGCAGCTAGAGAGGTCAGGGATAGTGGGTTTTAAAACTCACTGCTCATTGAGAATATGTAAATCATTTAAGGTCTGGTAGGAATGCACAGATACGGAGACCACGCACAGCCCTCCTGAGATCCTCTGCTGGAGACATCAGGCGACACAGAGTATGTAGCTTCATATTATTCTGCATTGATGTATAATGCATTGCTGGGATTGGGAGGCGTCTATAGCTGGTGCCATTCGGCATTGCTGTATAGTGTATTGCTGGGATTTGTAGTTCTCTGTAGTTTCCGATAGAAAATTGTGTGAATTAAAAGAAAGAGAAAATATAACGGTTATCATTATCTACACATATTGTATTCCAGACACAAACTACTGAAAAAAAATACTTTAACTGCTAGTGGAAAAAAACAAAACAAACCACTTCTCTTTCTGAGGAACTAACCAGCACGCCTGACTTCAGTGGAACAGTTATTAATCTTTAGCTGACTGAGGCTACGTGAAGGAGAGACGGAGCAGAATGGATTCTGGGTGAGGCAAACCGATCCTCCCTCCCTCCTCCTCCTCCTCCTCCTCCCTGACTGCACATCTGTTGCAAAGATCACGGGATACTTCACTTCTAAAAACTTTACAGCCATACACTTAATTCAAGCAATGTAATAAAACTCTGGATCTACAATTCAGCAGAACATTTTTTTTCCCCTTCTACAAAGCTGATCCGTAAATCCTTGCTAGGAAAACTTCTCACTGACATAAGGCAGGTTACATTTGTACATACAGGAGAGGCAACTAACCACCCAGAAAAATACTATATGCCCCATGGAAATCTATTCTTTTTCCACCCTATGAGCATGTTATTCCTGCACAATATGTGTAAAGTTACTTTGGAGTGTGTACACATTACTATACCATCCAAACCATTACTACACAACTGTACATTAGGCTGACAATGTATTAAAGAACAATCACAAGAGACTAGCTCCAAATCTCAGGACAATAAAAAAAGGTGGCCATACACCTTACCACCATTGTACAACGTTTCATTGCACCCTCGTTCAAACAGCCCATCATGCACACACCAATGTAGTTCAATTAT